CTGAGGCTGGGGGCTGCTGCAGCCGGGGGTGGGGCCGGAGCAGAACTGAGAGCAGGGTGGAGCAGGGCTGGAGCTCCCTCCCCGCCTCCTGTGGGGGCTGGCCCAGCCCGCCCTGCCCCAATGTTCTTCTGCACCCCCCGAGGGGGGCATGCCCCACAGTTTGGGGACCTCTGCACTATGGTAATACAAAGAATAAATAATAATACAAATGCAGCAGCCACACATATATATAGGCACAAGACACTTGGGAGCCAGCATGGAAAACAGCAGGACCTCTGTTAATATTATTTTGGCCACTAACTGTGCTCCTGGAAGCATGCCTGTCAATCAGTGTGCTGTTGTGGTGTAAAGATAGGAACACTTCAATGCGCATGCTACACTGATGCACAACCAGTCTGTCAACAAGAGCAAAGTCCAGCCATTAGGTCTCTTCTCACCTTCTGGAGACACTGCTGTGATGAGCATGTGTGTTATTTGATGATGGCATTGTCCACTGTTTTTTGGCTGTGTAGGGACCATGGCCCACTAATCCCACTGAGGTGGTTTTAAAGCCCCTGGGGAAATTCTGTGGGATTAGTGGGCTATTCAGGACATCAGTGGAGATATGCTGCATCTTTGAAGAGGGATAACCTCTCTGCAGTACTTCACTGGCTTCCCTTCCATTCTCTAGGTTCAAGCCTCATTGGGGGAGGGAGGGATTGTGGGAGAAGGAATGGAGCAGAAATTCCCATGATTTACATTAGCATTCAGAGTCTAATCCTGAGATGTACTGAGTCCCTCCTGCAGTGTTAGCAACCTCAGCTCTAGTGCAGTCAGGGGCGGCTCTATGCTTTTTGCCGCCCCAAGCACGACAGTCAGGCGGCCTTCGGCGGCGTGCCTGTGGGCGGTCTGCGGTCACGCAGATTCGGTGGTGTTTCTGTGGGTGATCTGCCAGTGCCGTGGCTTCGGTTTACCCACCGCCGAATTACCGCCGAAACGGCGGGACCGGCGGACTTCCCGCAAGCACGCAGCCGAAGGCCGCCTGACTGCCGCCCTCACAGCGACCGGCAGGCTGCCCCCTGCGGCTTGCCGCCCCAGGCACACGCTTACTGCACTGGTGCCTGGAGCCGCCCCTGAGTGCAGTGGAGGGCACTCAGCACTCCAT